TTACCCGGCCTTGATCAGGGCGACTCGTCTTGCGGTTGTTCATGGATTGGCTCGTGAGGATTTGAGCAACGCGTCAATGATTTCACCGGGCGTCTAGGTGTTATTGTCGGCGCCTGGGCGTTGCCGTCGGGGTTTACCGCGGGCCAGTATGATTAACAATTGCAAGCGGCGCGTTGGCAGGCATTCGCCTTCCTGGAGACATCTGTCTGGTTTCGCAGTGACCTTCTTTCGCACTGCTCGTCTCCAGTTTGCGGCTGTATGTTTGTAGCCCTTGGCTGAGCTCCATCAGACGGCTATAATTCCGCTGCCCTCGCTCGATGCATGACCGTCCCCGCAGCAATGCTCGTGAACTTTCTGGTGGGCTGATTATTTGTGGTTTTCTCTGCAGTTGGACTGCGGGCGGAACGCGGGCGCCGCTTATGCAGCATTCCATTGTTCGTTTTCCTCTGAGGGCATCCGCAGTGGATTTTGCGCGCGCTTGTCCCGGCAAGGGCGTAGGCCCAGGGTTCTCTTTTAGTATGTAAACTTGTCCCCGGTGCCAAACTTGAAGGAGGCCGGCGGATTCTTTCCCTGATAAATATCGAGGTCGAAGGAGGCCGGCGGATTCAAATTTGAGGATGTCTCAGGCGAAACGCTTGTTTTTGTTTTTTTTCTCTTTTTTTTTGCTTTTTTTTTTTTTTTTTTGTTTTTTTTTTTGTTTTGTTTTTTTTTTTTTGTTTTTATTTTTTTTTTTTTTTTTTTTTCTTTTTTTTTATTTTTTTTTTTTTGTGTTTTTTTTTATTTATTTTTTTTTTTGTTTTTTTTTTTTTTTTTTTTTTTTTTTGTTTTTTGGTGTTTTTTTTTTTGTTTTTTGAAATCCCGATCGATAAATCACAGGGCGCGGGGCACCTCAGCGCGACCACGCCCCCAGCATGACCGCGCCCCAGCACGACCACGCCGAGCGCGACCGCGCCCCAGCACGACCACACCCCAGCACGACCGCACCCCAGCACGACCGCACCCCAGCACGACCACACCCCATCACGACCACACCCCAGCACCAACGCGACCATACCCCAGCACGACCCGATCGATAAATCACAGGGCGCGGACCACCCCAGCACGACCACACCCCAGCGCGACCCCGCCCCAGCACGACCCCACCCCAGCACGACCACGCCCCAACGCGACCACACCCCAGCACGACCACACCCCGGCACGACCGCACCCCAGCACGACCCCACCCCAGCACGACCCCACCCTAGCACGACCACACCCCAGCACGACCACACCCCAGAACGACCACGCCCCAGCACGACCCCACCCAAGCACGACCCCACCCCAGCACGACCACACCCCAGCACGACCACACCCCAGCAGGACCCCACCCCAGCACGACCCCACCCCAGCACGGCCCCACCCCAGCAAGACCACACCCCAGCACGACCACACCCCAGCACGACCTCACCACAGCACGACCACACCCCAGCACGACCACGCCCCAGCACGACCACGCCCCAGCACGACCACGCCCCAGCACGACCACCCCCCAGCACGACCACCCCCCCAGCGCGACCACCCCCCAGCACGGCCACCCCCAAGCACGACCACACCCCAGCACGACCGCTCCCCAGCACGACCACACCGCCTTGGTTGAGTGGTTGCCTGTCGTCGTGGAATGTTTCGTGGGGTGTCTCGTGGAATGTTTCGCGGGGTGTCTCGTGGAATGTTTCGCGAGGTGTCTCGTGGGATGTTTCGCGAGGTGTCTCGTGGGATGTTTCGTGAAGTGTCTCGTGGGATGTTTCGCGAGGTGTTGCCCAGTTGGGTATCGTGAAAACGTGTCCATGCTCCGCATGTCTATATCCCTTTCCGGGTTCGTGGGTCCATCATGTTTTTTTGTTGAGCAGATCAGTTCAATAAGATCTGTCGTTGTATGGCACGAGACCACTAAAATGAAATTGGAAAAGGAAAAAATATCCACGCGTCCCTTCATAGCCCTTGGCGAAGCCAACGCTTCCATCGCCTGAGCCTCGCCATCTACGGGGTCGCGGCCATCGCCATCGGCGTGACTATTAGCCGCGCGATGAGGGGGCGGGAGGGGGGGGGGGGGGGGCGGAACAGAGGCCCTTCGTGGGGCCCAGCTTGGAACGCGCCCCGCGCGTGGATTCGCGCGGCACGCGCGCGGCTTTTTTTGTTTTTTTTTTTTTTTTTTTTTGTTTTTTTTTTTTTTTTTTTTGTTTTTTTTTTTTTTTTTTTTTTTTTTTTTTTTTTTTTTTTTTTTTTTTTTTTTTTTTTTTTTTTTTTTTTTTTTTTTTTTTTTTTGTTAGCAACGCCCGCTGGGCGCGCGGTTCCATCCCGGCAGGCGGCTGCGCTTCAGCGAGGCTTCCGGGGCCGGCACTCGCCGTCGCCATGCGGATGCCATCCGCAGTCGTCAACTTCGGAGTGGAAGTCGATGGCGTTCGCGGCGACCCAGTAACGCACTGCTGGCGCAATCTGGCGCAGAGAGTCGAGAGTTTAGAAAGAGGTTGAGGGCCAGCTACACAGGGATTTGACATCATAGGCGTCCGTGTTCACATGAATGGATGGATCGAAGATGTATTGGCCAGGTGGGGAATTGCGCGGATGGAAGCCGACGTGGCTGGCCCCGGGTTTGACAATTTTTTTGTATGTTTTACCACGTTGGTTCGAGCCCTCCGCGCCCCGCCGCGCAAATTGTCGCCGTCTCTCCAGCCGCTCAACGGCATGGTGTCCAGGGCCCATCAGGAGCGCGACGGACTGCTGGGCGCTGCCAGACGCCGACGCCACATCGTCGAGCGCATGCCAGGCAGCATCGCGCACTTCGTGGGCGGCCACGGCAGAGGCGGCGCCCGCGCTGTCGACGCATTCTTGCTGCGGGGACATGTCGACAACGAGGTGCCCCTGCAGGGGCGCTTGCCGCCGGGGCGCGTTTAGCACTAGCCCGCGACCACCAGTGTGGGCGGGCGCGGAGATGCGACGCGCGCTATCTTAAGCGTAGAGAAGCAGCGCGCACCATTGCATCCATCGTGCAGAGCGGATGCGCGCGCCTGCTTCCGTCATAGTAATAGGATTATGCCAAACATGGCAATACTATCGCCGAAGCATTGGGAACAACCTGCGCCTTCGCACATGGAAGCAGCATTGGCTGCTGCGCGTGCCATCTGCAACCTTGTTCATCTATCCGTGCCGCGCGACGCAACGTGCCGCGCCGTGATGGGACTGCTAGGCGGCCGAAGCTCGCTAGCGACTGAACGAGGGGCGCGCGCTCGGCCAAGTTGCCACGAGTGCGCGGGCAATTTTGAAGCGGTTTCCATTTGGATGGTGGCGCGGAAACCGTTGCCGCCGAATCTGAGATGGGAGTTGGGCGCCCCGCTAGATGCGCTTGCGCGCGAGAGCGCGATGCGGCGCCTTTGCGGAGCAGCGTCGTATGGCCGCTTGCTCTACGCATATAGCTATGAGCACGCGCGCGCGTCATGAACCGCGCGGGCTTGGCATCGCTGTCGCGGCATATCTCCCGAGATGTTAGGCCATCCTTGCACGAGGGCCCGCTGCTTGCCAAGCGCCGCGACGCGAACATCAGGTGCGTTGACGCCGTCGACCACAGCGGGTTTGACGAGACCCTTGCGCCTTTGAGGTTGACGGGCGAACCAGCTTCCCAGACGCAGTGCAGAGCAATTTCTTGCTGGGCGCCAGGGGGAAATACTGGCGAGGTGGTCGCATAGCTGCTCCAGGCGCCGTCCGAGCTCGGTTGTCTTATTGCCGTTCCGTTGCGTGACGCTTTGGATGGGCCTGGCCGTCGTTGCACCCAGCTCGGGCGCGCGCCCCACGAGTGCCAGTCGTTGAGGAGTTGCCGCGCAGAAAACATTTTGATGGCTCTGGAGCAACCCGCGGGGATGACTCAGTCTGAATCGGCTCTCAGATCCAAGTCGCGGGCTTCGTCCAAATATAGACATCCGTCAAATGAGTGCTGGAGAAGAGTTGGTTCGTCGTCGTGGCACTGGGTGGGGCACCTCGGCGCGGATTGCGTCAAGCGCCAGGATGCTTCGGCTCACCAGTATTGTAGCTATTACGTGGGCGACGCACAGAACGGGATGTTGCGCATGACCAAGTGTTTTGACGCGCGTGGTGTTTGGGGAGATTTCCAGACTTGCGTCGCTGATGTTCTCAGATGCCGTATTATGCCCGTCCTCGGCAGCCTTGACAACGATTCTTTCTTGTGCAAGCTCATGGCGCGCCGGACTTTTGCGTCGCCAGACGGCGGCGCCGTGATGAGACGCGTGGTTCTGCAGATGGTCTAGCATTGCGTGTTTTTTTTTTTTTTTTTTTGAAATAGAACGGATATTCGGATTGCCGTCGACGGTTCTTTCGACCTGGACGATGAGTTCGCAGTCGCGACATGGCGGATTACATTGCCGAGGCCGGCGAGAAGTGCTTGACATATCGTAGGTTTCGGCTGTTCAGCAAGCAGCGGTGGATTGGCGCTGGAGAGTGCGTCTGCGACCCAGCCTTGGTGGAGGTCTGCTGGGGGCTCCTCCGGCCGTCGCATTGCCTGCGGTCTCGAAGGCGTCGGAGGCGGCATTCTGCACCCGAGCATCGCGGCCCTGACCGGCAATCTTAGGGCCAGCGCGACATCGCCATGGCCGTTGGCGACGACTATCATCGGCAGTTCCAGCAGCTACGAGACGAGGGCGTTGCCCCGTGATTGAGAGGATACGCAGAAAGAACAGGAGCACACCAAGAGCACCAAGGAGGCTTGCGAGTGGCTCAGCACCACTCGCCCGGAGCCGCTGGCGAATATGCTGGCGTGGAGGATGCGCGCGGCGCCGGTGCAGCTTGACAGGCAATGGCAGTGTCGCAGATTGTCAAGGGGTCATCAACGACGCGCGGCTGCTTCTCGATCCATCCGCAGAAGCCGCGGCCACGAGAAGTAGCGCCGTGACTACTGTATTCTAGTTGAAGCGAGAGGTACGTTGGAATCCGAGTTGTATATGAGGCTCCGCCAGCTGCTCTACGACGCGCGCATCTGGGTCCTGGCGCCGCGGGCCGACATCACCAATCGGGCGAGGGCAGTCGCTTTCTTCGCGATCAGCTCCGCGGGCGGTTCAACGTACTACTACAGAGCGAAGCCTCGCGCTAAGTGCTCGTTCCGTGTCTTCCTCGGCCTCGAGTCCGGGGCCGCGGGGGAGATGTGCGACAGCGGCAAGGCTTGCATGCGATGCCCATGCTCTGCTAGAATTGCGGAGGAGAGCGGCGCGTTCGCCAGCGAGGAGGCCGGGCGCCGCCTGTTGTTGGTGGCGCATCTATTATACTTCGACAGCGGCCGCTTCGAGGTAATGCCCACATGCGCAGACGAGTCCTCGAGCGTGCGCAGGCGCCGGAGATCGGCCTGGGCGACCTGTTCGCGCCCTTCGTCGTCGAGGGCGCCAGGTTCACGCTCGGGGGGGGGGGCTCGTCCAGGGCGGGCGCGGCCGGCGATGGCCCAGGGGCGGGCTTCGAGCAGGCCGAGTGGCATGGGCGAGCGGGGCGTGCGTGGCGAGCGCGTCCGAGGGCCACGGGGTCGAACGACTTCAGGCGCATGTCCGAGCAGTTCAGGGCTTTGGACGAGGAGGATCGCCAGAAACATACCGCAGACGGCCATGCACCAAGAGGAGGCAATCCGGCGAGGCAGTCGGGGCGTCGTTCGGTCTCAGGCGCGAGGTCATGGAGAGAGCGAATCGGAATAGAGTAACCGCTTCGCGCAGTCAACGCCTGCTGGATGCTGAGCCCGAGGAGTCGGTCGAGAGCGTGCTGCAGATCGCCGCCCAGGCAGGCGGCGCCCCCCGTGCGGCTCTGAGCGAGGCCAGGGCTTTGCAGCCCTCGCTCAACTCCAGGCGCCGAGCAAGGTCCCGAGCCGACGAGGACGCGCTGAACCAGTTTGATGTTGAGGATACGTCTGCAGCTCGAGCGATCGTGCAGCCCTGCGTCGAAGGGTCGCCCTGGGCGACGAGCGCGATGACTGCCATTCCAGGTGACTTGGGATGTGCGGCGCGGCCGTCAAAGCATCTTCCGCGAGGAAGCCGAGATTGTTGAGGGTCTGCGCTGTTCAGTGGAATGGTTTTTCTCGGCCGCCGGCGGCGCGCCCACTGGGTGATTCCAGGGGCGGCGACGACGGCCCGTGCCCTGTCGGCGCTGGCCAGGTCGCAGGCGCTCGCGCGCGCGATGTCCGTGGCCAGGAGCTGTGCGCGGCCGGGGTTTCGACCCCGAGGGCGACGAAGGCCGAGTTTCCCACCGTCGCGGACGAGAGGCGCAATTGGTTGAAGCACGGTTGGATCATCGTGAAGTTGACGCTCTTGCGTTTTTTTTCTTTTTTTTTTTTTTTTTTTTTTTTTTTTTTTTTTTTTTTTTTCGTTTTTTATTTTCTTTTTTTTGAAGTCGAGGTGTTGGCACATCAGCTTCATGCTCGTCAGCCCGTGCGCGCCAATGTTCCAGGACATGGGGGACGTCGCGAGCAGCGACTGGGGGGCCTCGGCGAACCCGTCCGCGGACGGCTTGCGAGGTTGCCGCTTTTTGTGCGTTTTTATTTTTTTTTGTTTGATGTTTTTTTTTGTTTTTTGAATTTTGTGAAGGGACGCGCCCCCCTTTGGGGGGAGGGGGGGGGCAGGGGGGGCGTTCGATGGGGGGGTCTTGCCGCTCTGAACTGAGGGCGACGGGCGAGGCGCGGGCGGGGGGCCCAGGGGCGGGCCAAGGGATGGTGGTCAGGGGGGGAGGGGGGCGGGTGAGGTAGGGAGGATGAGGGGGGGAAAGGGGGGCGAGGGGGGGCGGGGGCGGGGGGGGCGGGGGCGGAGGGGGGGGGGGCGGGGGGAAGCGAGGGAAGAAGGGGAGCATGGGGAAGAGAGCGGTGACGAGGGCGAGGCCCATCTGATTGCGAGTGCCCTTCGGGGGCGCCGCTGGTGGTCCTTGGAGGGCAGGTGGTGTTCTGCGGGCTGGTCTTCCTGGTGCCTTCTCGGAAGGCAGTCGGTGCTTCCTGGGCCGAGTGAAAGCCATATTGGGCCGTCTTGGGGTGCCATCGCTCCGTCTCGGTGCGCTCTGGGCCTTCGGTGAGAGCCGCCCCCCACTTTCAAGCTTGACGGCTGTGCGTCGCGCGCTTGCGGGCCGAGGCTGGGTCGTGTTGGGCATAGGGTCTGGGGTCAGCAACGTGCAGCTCTGCTCGTGGGCTCCCTGCCTGATCCCTCTGCCCCGCCCTCGTCTGCGCCGAGACGTCGCTGCCGTTGCAGTTGTTTTTGCTCTGCGGGGGGGGGGGCTTCGCCGCCGCCATCGCCAACGTCGCCGCCATCGTCATCATCATCGCCACCATCGGCATCATCATCATCATCGCCATCATCATCATCAGCATCATCATCATCATCATCTTGATCATCATCATTTGTCGGTAGCGCACCCCCCTCTATGGCAGCCCCGCACATCTCAGCACCATCGCCATCAGTTGCCGCCATCATCACCATCATCACCACCGTCAGCATCACCATTGCGTCCATCACCATAGCTCACGCCCGGCACGTTCGCATGGGCGGCCGCGCTCCTGTCAGCGCGGCCCCGCGCGCGCTGACGCATGCGGGCGGCGCCCCTCGCTGGAGCTCCCGATGAGGCGGCGCAGCGCTTCGCTGGTTTGGGGAAGCGCATGCGGGCGGTGCCACTGGGGTCTTTCTGTGGAGCCCCCTACGGGGCCACGAAACGCTGAGCTAGGTGGTGGCCGACGCACGCGGGCGGCGTCAGTGGGGCCTTCGGTGGGGCTCCCTATGGGGCCACGAAGCGCTGTGCTGGAGAGGGCGGGGGGGAGGGGGGGAGGCTGGCGCGCGCGGGCTGCGCCGCTGGGCCCCCTGGTGGAGCCCCCTATTGGGGCCGCGAAGCGTTGTGCTGGGTGGTGGGTCGCACGCGGGCGGACCACTGGAACCCCCTACGGGGCCACGACGCGCTGCGGGGGGGGGGGGGGGGGGGGGGGCGGGGGGTGGGCGCGCGCGCGGGCAGGGTGGCCAATGGGGGCTTGCTGGGGGCTCCCACTTGATGGGGCCGCGCAAAACAGAATCGGGGTTGCGTGGGCGACGCAGCGGGGCGCCCACCATTGCCTTCGGTGGAGCTCACGAAGGGGCCACGAAGACGCTTTTTGTTTGGCGGGTTTGTTTTTTTGTTGTTTGTTTTTGTGTTTTGTTTTTTGTTTTTTTTGTACTGTTTTTGTTTGTGTTGTTTTTGTTTTTGTTTATTTTTTGTGTTGTTGTTTGTCTTGTTTTTGTTTTTCTGTTCGTTTGTTGTTGCTGTCGGTTCTTTTTTTGTTTGTGGTTTTGTTGTGTTGTGTGTTGTGTTGTGTTTTTTTTTGTATTTTTTGTTTTTTTTTTGGTTTTTTTTGTGTTTTGTGTTTTTTGTGTTATTTTTTTTTGTTGTTCTGTAGTGTTTTTTGTTTTCTGTGTTGTAATTTGTTTTGTTTTTGTATTGGGGGGTGGCTGGCGCACGCGGGCGGTCCCACTGGGGCCCGCGGTGGAGCCTCCCTGTGGGGCCACGGAGCGCTGTGCTGGGCGGTGGCTGACTCATGCGGGCGGTGCCACTAGGGCATTCGGTGGAGTCCCCTTCTGGGTCCACGGAACGTGTGCTGGGCGGTGGCTGACGCGCGCGGGCGGTCGCGCTGAAGCCTTTGGTGGACACCCCCCTATGGGGCCACGATGCTTTGTGCTGGGTGGTGGCTGACGCATGCGGGTGGTGCCACTGGGGCCGTCGGTGGAGCTCCCTATCGGGCCGCGAAGCGCTGCGCTGGGTGGTGGCTGCCGCATGCGGGCGGCGCCAGTTTGACCATCGGTGGGGCCCCCTTTTGGGCCACGATGCGCTGTGCTGGGTGGTGGCTGGCGCATGCGGGCGGCCCTGCTGGGGCCCTCGGTGGAGCTCCCTGCGGGGCCACGAAACGCTGCACTGGGCTGTGGCTGACGCATGCGGGCGGTGCCGCTGGGGCCGTCGGTGGAGCCCCCCTTCTGGGCCACGAAACGTTGCGTTGGGCGGTGGCTGACGCGTGCGGGCGGTCGCGCGGGGGCCTTCGGTGGACACCCCCTATGGGGCCGCGAGACGCTGTACTGGGTGGTGGCTGACGCATGCGGGCGGTGCCACTGGGGCCGTCGGTGGAGCTCCCTATGGGGCCACGAAGCGCTGTGCTGGGTGGTGGCTGACGCATGCGGGCGGTGCCACTGGGGCCTTCGGTGAAGCCCCCTACGGGGCCGCGAAACGCTGTGTCGTTTGGTGGCTGACGCATGCGGGCGGTGCCACTGGGGCAGTGGGCGGGGCTCCGCATGGGGCCAAGAAGCGCTGCGTTGGGTGGTGGCTGACGCAAGATGGACTGTACTGGGTGGTGGCTGACGCATGCGGGCGGTGCCACTGGTGCCTTGGGTGGGGCCCCGTATGGAGCCACGAAGTGCTGTGCTGGGTGGTGGCTGACACATGCGGGCGGTCCCACTGGGACTTTCGGTGGAGCTCCCTCTGGGGCCCACGAAGCGCTGCACTGGGTGGTGGCTGACGCATGCGGGCGGTGCCACTGGGGCAGTCGGTAGAGCCCATGGGGCCACGAACCGCGCGCTGGGTGGTGGCTGACGCATGCGGGCGGTCCCACTGGGACCTTCGGTGGGGCTCCTCCTTACGGGGCCACAAAACGCTGTATTGGGTGGTGGTTGACGCATGCGGGCGGTGCCACTGGGGCATTCGGTGGGGCCCCTCTGGGCCCACGAAGCGCTGTACTGGGTGGTGGCTAACTGGGGCCGTCGATGGAGCTCCCTATGGGGCCACGAAGCGATGTGCAGTGTGGTGAGTGACGCATGCGGGCGGTCCCACTGGGACCTTCGGTGGGGCCCTTCTGAGACCACGAAAAGGTGTGTTGGGTGGTGGCTGACGCATTCGGGCGGTCGCGGTGCCACTGGGGCCGTCGGTGGAGCTCCTTATGGTGCCACGCAGCGCTGTACTGGGTGGTGGCTGATCCATGCGGGCGGTGCCACTGGGGCCGTCGGTGGAGCTTTTTGTGGGGCCACGAGACGCTGTACTGGGTGGTTGCTGACGCATGCGGGCGGCCCCAATGAGACATCCAGCGGGCCCCCTTATTATGGTGCCACGAAGCGTTGTGCTGGGTGGTGGCTGACGCATGCGGGCGGTGCCACTCGGGCCGTCGGTGGAGCCCCCTATGGGGCCACGAGGCGCTGTGCTGGGTGGTGGTTGACGCATGCGGGCGGTCGCGCCGGGACCTTCGGTGGATCTCCCTGTGGGGTCACGAAGCGCTGAATTGGTGCCGCTGCGGCCTTCGGTGGAGCCACTTATGGGGCCACGAAGCGCTGTGCTGGTGGTGTCTGACGCATGCGGGCGGTCGCACTGGGGGCTTCAGTAGAACTCCTTATGGGGCCACGGAGCACTGTACTGGGTGGTGGCTGACGCGTGCGGGCGGTGCCACTGGGGCCTTCGGTGGAGCCCCCTATGGGGCCGCGAAGCGTTGTGCTGGGTGGTGGCTGACGGATGTGGGCGGTCCCCTTGGGGGCTTCGGTGGAGCTCTTTGTTGGGCCACGAAACATGTGAGGGGAGTGTCGAAATTGTGGACATGCGGAGAGCAGAGGCAAAGGATGGGAGGAGGGAGGAGGAGGAGGATGGAGGAGGAGGAAAGAATGAAGGAGGAACGCGGGGTCCGTTTCTTCAAAACGAGGATGCAAAACCACAGGATGGCTGGGAGAAACAATGAGAAAATTATCCAGACGAAGGACCCAACCACGTGCAGCTGTGTGTAACGCAGTTGTGGGTATCGTCCTCGGTGAACCTCTCTCTGGGGCCACGACGTGTGTGACGCGTGTGCCAAAATTTGCACGGGTGCGCCATGCGGATGCTGCCACCGGAGCCGTCTGTGCAGCCCCATCTGAGGCCACGAAACGTGTGAGGGGTGCGCCGAAATGCAGGGTGGAACCACGTCCGGGCGCTGCCACTAGGGCCTTTGGGGGCCACGTAACGTTCGTTGACGGGGTGCGCCGAAATGCATGGTGGAACTGCATGCGGACCCTGCCCAGGGGGCCTTCGGTGGATCGCCTTATGGGGCCACGAAACGTGTGAGGAGTGCGCCGAAATCAAGTGGAACTGAATGCGGACCCTGCCACTGGGGTATTGGGTGGAGCACCCTATGGGGCCGTGGAATATGCGTGCCCCCTTCCTCTGCCTGTTATAAGAACCCAGGGGGCAGGCATTCCCTAGGCCTTCTTAGGCCTTCCCCAGGCCTGCCTCAGTCTACCCTGGCCTACCCCTGGGGGGAAGGCCGTCTCTGGGCCTACCTAGGCGTTCTCAGGCCTGCCCTAGGCCCACCTAGGCCTTCCCAGGCCTTCCTAGGCCTTGCTTGAACTTGGTTTGGTCTACCCTAAGCTTACCTGTGTCGCTCCACCTCCCCGCCCGCCCACGTCCAGGGACGTGCCGCAGCGCGCATGCCCGCGTCGCTGCGTTTTGGGGAGGCTGCGGTAGGCGACGCCTGCGGCGTGGCACGGCTGTGGCGTCTTGTCACGGCTGCCGCGTACGCCTCTCACGGTGTTTTTCTCCCAAGGGCAGCCCCCTCGCGATTTTTGCGTGTTTCGAACAGTTTTCATAATGATGGGATTTGGGTCTTTGGTCGTGAGTTTGCATTGTGTTGTTTGTTTGTTCGTGACGTCGCATCTCAGAGTTGGAAGGGGGGCGTTCCATCTAACGGGACCCTCTCGGGGGTCGCCAGCAGTGCCAAGGGGGTCGCCAGCAGGAGATGGTCACCGCCCGCTCCTGGAAATCGAAGGTCGAGGAGGAGGAGGCGGAGGAGGATCGATGATCGATGAGGTTTTGGGGGTCTTTGGGAGTCCTGGCTCCGGGGGGGGCCATGGGCCCGTTCCTTGGAGGAGGTGGCGCCTGTTGCGGGAAGAAGGTCTTAGAGTCGTCTCTTGGCCGTCAGCGTGTCCGCTTCGAACGTAGAACGCGTAGCCGAGTGGCCAGCGCTGGCCGCCTCGTCCTTTTCATTGTCTTCGTCCTCCGCCTTCTCCTCATCTGTCCCATCTGAGCCATCTCGAGTGACTCGAGTGACTCGCGCGACCGGTTTCTCCATCTCGAGTGTCGCCGTCGCGAGTTTGCCATGCTGTCCGATTCAGTTGGAAGGCGCTTGAAAACGACACTTTGTGTTCCCAATTTGCACATCCTTCGAGGCTGTTTCTATCAAGGAGCGTGTGGACATGCTTTTTCAGACTGTCTATCGTACCGCTCTTGCGCTGGCGGGCTTAGCTTGGAGCACATGCGCAAAACCGCATGCCAGTTCGCTGTCTTTCTGCCTACACGACAGGGCATGGGCTCGCCTACCGCAGTGTGGCCGGTACTCAATTCCAGGCTTGCATTGCGTAGCTCTGGGTTCTGAACTATCGCATCCGCGTGGCCGCCTCCCCTGCTCCTCGAGTTGCTTCATGCGAAACCATGAGAGCCCCAGGGACTTATGCAATGCGAGCTTTTGCCCGGACCTTGGCATGTGCGACTCCGACGAGGCCTTGGATTGTGCGGAGACCTGCAACGAGCCCCTGCGCCCCCTTTGCTGCCCTGGGATACCCAGTCAGGAGGAGGAAGTGATCAGGAATGCTGGCTGGTTTGTGGAAGTTCAGACCAAACGGGAGTAGGTCGTGTGTAGGTACCGATCCGAGCCAAGTTCGCTGGGATTGTTGCGAAAGGGCGTCTGCGATGCCGACTTGTTGGTGTGTGGTCGAGGATTAACAGGAGTAGGAGACGTTGAGGAGGACGGCTGATGGTGGTCATGGTCATTGTGTTGCTGCTATTGCTGATGCTGATCATGATGATGCTGATGTCGGGCAGTAGTGGGTGGAGGAGGGGAAGGAGGAGGAGGAGCAGCAGGTTGCAGGAGCAAAATGATGAGTGCGGGGGATGTCGAACACGGTGTGTGCACTATATATATATATACACAGACACACTTGTTGGAAGCATCGTGCGCTTCGCGGGCGCTCAAGTTCTAGACGAATGCAGGCCTTGTGTGTCGAAGAAGAGTGCTTGGCAAGAGATACAGCCGTGACCTGTGTCCGGACATGGATAAGGTTGCTTTTTGCACGTTGCTGGGGTCGTAGTCGTTTATTGTCCAAGATGCCACTGCCAAGTGCCCCGTTCGTTGGGGAACGGGCCACCCAGAATGTGTGTATCGAACCCAGGACACATGATTTCTGGGTGTAGCGCGCGCGTTTCGTGTGCCGCAGCAAGGCATATTGCGCTGAAAGGCGCTCTCGCTTGGCCAACGCCTGCACACGAACTGCGACACGCGCTGGTATGGATGCTTCCATACGTTGTGAACTGGTTTTGCATGTAGAGCTAGGATGTTGGGCGCATCGCGCAGCGTGAATTATGCAGTACGTCGCATTGGCGTCGACTCGCTTTCTTCAACCTTTGGCTGCGCATCGGTGTCGTTCGCATGGTTACATTTTCCGCTGGAGCTCATGGCGTGCCTGATGCCCCGCGGATTTGTGCTCGGGCGGCCACGTGTACATACAGCAATTTTGGCAGTAGTCGATCGCTGATTCGTTGCCTACCCCTGTGAGAGCAACCGAGGACTGCACCACGGCAGCGACGACAATACGTAGTGCATTTTTGGCATCTAATTTGTGTCGAGAATGGGGGCGGGCCAGTCATTTGTGTAGTGTTAGCGCAATCTTTGGTGTGGAAATAACATGGTTGGGGGTGGTATCCTTGCATTGGCGCTTGCTGGCAGTGGAGGCACGTGCATAGACCATTTCTGTGTCCTGGTGTGGAAATAACATGGTTCGGGATGGTCTCCTTGCATTGGCGCTTGCTGGCAGTGGAGGCACGTGCATAGACCATTTCTGTGTCCAAAATTGGGCTGAGCTGGCCCGGTGGTGGTGGTGTGTCGCTTTTTGATTGAAAAAAAAAGGAATGTCGGGCCAGTATCCTCCCATAAGCGACGGCGCCATCTTCCGCCAACCCGCCCGCAGACCCCCGTGCCGCCCGCGGTTCTTGTCTCCTACTAGGCCGAGCTCCGGTAGTGGCCTTCAGCTTCCTTTAGCGGCGGCGGCCGTGACGGCAACGGCGACGGCGACGGCGACGTCGACGGCGACGGCGACGACGACGACGACCACGACGGCTTCGACGACGACGACGCTGACGGCGACCACGACCACAACCGCGACCACGACCACGACCACGACCACGACCATGACCACGACCACGAACGCGACCACGACTGCGACCACGAGCACGACCACGAGGAAAACTGGGACGTCGGCGACGACGACAGCCACGACGGCGACGGCCGCAGTTGCGACGATCTGAGCCACTGCCGCAAAGGACATTTGCCAGAACATCAAGGCGCCCTCGTCGGAGTGCTCCCAGAAGGCGCGCCGGCAACGTCTGCCCCTGGCTGGAGTCCCCCCTGGCGTCGCTGATCTCGAGCACCCTCAACAGGGGGGCGAAGAAGCAGAGAGGGTAGGCAGCGGTTGGGCAAGGATCGGGGTGGGCGAATGGGGGGACGGGGTTTGGCAAATGGGTGTCGAAATCTGCAACATACAGCTGGTTTCGGATCGCCGCGCTGGGAACGTTCGATCCATGGTCACTTCAGCGGGTGCCTCCAGACGCAAGACAAATTGCTGCTTACAGGTGATGCTACCCCGCTCCTGTATGAACTCCCCGTTTCGTTCACCCCGAAAGGAGGAGGTCCAAGCCTCGAGGATCAAGACATTCGGACGTTTTTGGCTCTTCTTGGGCCTTTGGAAGCTTCGGGGGACCTCCGCTGGTCAGGTTTCCGGGGACCTCGAGGAACCTCCGGGGGAGGGGAGGAGGGAGAGGAGGAGGAGGAGGAGGATAGCCCAGAGTCAACGGTCTATGCTGCAGGTCTTCGCAAGGTAACATGCATGGTGATGATGAGAAGGATGATGATAATGATGCTGATGCTGATGCTGATGATGATGCTGCTGATGATGCTGCTGATGATGATGCTGAAGATACTGATGATACTGCTGATGATGTTTATGTTGATGCCGATGATGATGCTGATGCTGTTGGTGGTGATGATAATGTTGATGCTGTCGATTATGATGCTGATGATGCTGATGATGGTGGTGTTAATGATTATGTTGATGGGTGGTGGTGTTGTTGGTGGTGCTAGTGGTGGTGATGCTGATCATGACGATGACGATGACGATGATGAGGTGATGATGATGATGCTGATGATGATGATGACGATGACGATGTCGATGACGATGATGCTGATGATGATGCTGATGCTGATGATGATGAGGCTGATGCTGATGCTGATGCTGATGCTGATGATGATGCTGATGCAGATGATGATGATGATGCTGATGCTGATGATGATGAGGCTGATGCTGATGATGATGAGGATGCTGATGATGATGCTGATGCTGATGATGATGATGCTGATGATGATGATCATCATCATTGTGGTGGTGCTGGTGGTGGGGGGGTGATCATGAGCGATGGTAGGGACGTTGTGCAGTGTCATGGCGGTTCCGATTGGGTTGATCTTGGTGGAAATGACGGCGAGCCGTTGTCGTCGTAGTTGGGCCGTCGCCACTTTGATGGAATTGCGGGAATCTCTGGCGAGAGCGCCGTTCCTGATTATGAGAGCTCACCTGGCCAGTTCGCGTGGGAGTAAATCGGGAGAAGGTGCCGAGCGGAAGCCGTTGCCGTCGTAGTGGGGCTTTCACCAATCCAAGTGAATTGCTAGAAAGCCTCGGGCGAGAGCGCCATTCTTGAGTGTAAGAACGCATCTGCCCAGTGCGTGTGTGAGCAAGAGCGGGAACCGTTGTCGTCGTAGTTGCGCCTTCGCCAATTTGATTGATTTGCGAGAAGCTTTCGGTCGAGAGCGTCAGTCCTCAGTTTGTTTGCCTCTCTGGCCAGTGCGTCACGTAGTATGTGAGGAAATATGGAGTTGGAGCCATTGTTGTCATAGTTGGACCTCTGAGTCTACCGAATTGCGAGGACGTCTCGGGTGAAAGCGCCATTCACTAGGTCGGATGCTTTTCTGGCCAGGACGTCTCGGAGTGTTTCGCGAACAGGTGTCGGGCGGGAGTCGTTGCCGTCGAAGCTTGGCTTCCGCCACGTTGATTTAAGCAGTTGCGAGGAAGTCTGAGGCGCGAGCGCCATGTCTGAGTTTGGGGGCCTCTCTGGCAAGGGCGTGTCGGAGGAAATTGTGAGGAAGGTTCGAGCGGGAGCCGTTGTCGTCGTAGTTGGGCCTTTGCCAGGAACTACGGGGTCTCGGGTGAGAGCGCCATTTCTGAGGTCGGAGGCCTTTTTGGCCAGGATGTCTCGGAGTATTTCGCGAAAAGGTGTCGGGCGGGAGCCTTTGCCGTCGCAGGTTGGTGTTCGCCATTCTTGAGTTCGGGGGCCTCTCTGGCTAGTGCGTGTCAGAGTAAACGGTGAGGAAGAACTGAGTGGGAGCCATGGTCGTTGTAGTTGAGCCTTCGCCGACCTTCTGGATTTGTGACGGAGTCCCGGGCGAGAGCGCCATTCATGAGTCTGGGATGCCTCTTTGACAGTGGCGTTTGATGTACATCGGGAGGAGCTGTCGAGAGGGAGCCACTGTTGTCGTAGTTGGGCCATTGCCAACGTAAGTGAATTGCAAGGGTGCCTCGGGAGAGGGCGCCATTCCCGCAAGTGCGTCTCGCGTGGAAGGTATGAGGAAGTAGCGAGCGGGAATCGTTGTCGTCGTAGTTTGGCTTACGATTGGGACCCACGCCTGCGCTCGACCGGGAGCTCCGTTTTCATAGGACGTGCAGCCGACGCCGAGGCGAGAGCGCCCAGAGATCCGCAGTGCTTGTTCTCTAGAGAGTATTCAAGGGTGGTTCGCGATATAACACTGACGATGGCTGTGATAACGATGACGACACTGACGAAGATCTTGGTCATTACGGTGACGGGCATGAGGCTGATTATGAGAGTGATGTTGATCATTCATACAGCGATGGCATTCACGGTGACATCAGATAGTGAACTTGATGACGGCGATGGTGAAAGTGTTGCCGATGACGATGCGGGCTGACGAAACGAGCAGTTAATTAATATTGGTGACGAATATGGACATGAATGTAATGGCACGGATGGTCATGATGATGTTGTTGATATTGATGATATTGATGATGAGGTTGATGATGGTGATGATGAGGATGAGGATGAGGATGACGTTGATCACGATGATGATGGTGGTCATGATGTTTATGTTGATGATGATGGTGATGATGACGACAACGATAGTGTTGATTGTGATGATGATGATGATGATGAAGATGGTGATGTTGAGGATGATGATCGTGTTGACGTCGATGGTGATTCTGATGATGTGATTATGATGGGGATGATGTTGATGAGGATCCTAATGATGATTGTGCTGATGCTGATTATGATGACGGTTTTGATGACACCTATGATGATGATGATGATGATGATGATGATGATGATGATGATGATGGTGATGGTGATGGTGATGGTGATGGTGATGGTGATGATGGTGATGGTGATGGTGATGGTGATGATGGTGGTGGTGGTGGTGATGATGATGATGATGGTGCTGGTGCTGGTGCTGATGACGACCCTGATCATTATTACAAGGACGCGGAAGGTTGTGAATGGGGACGCCGATCCGTGTCCCCGCCCGCCTTCCATCGGAGTCGTGGTCGTCGTCGTCGTCGTCGTCGTCCTGGTCGCCAGCGCCGTCGCCATCGCCGCCGCCGCCACCGCCGCCGCCGTGGTCGTCGTCGTCGTCGTCGTCCTCCTCTCCGTGTTCAGCCTCCTGCCTCCCCTTCTGCTCCGTCCTGGGACTCCTCCTCAGGACTCATCAGGACTGCGGACAGGTTCGCGTCGAAGCGTCGATGCCCTCGAACCTTCCCCCCGTCATCTGCGGGGAGAGGGCGAACAAAAACCAAGAGGCAAGAAGGCGAAGGAAGAGGACGACGGATCGGCCGAGGGTTGCTGCACACCTCCTGGGCTCCCCCAGGGGTGCTGCCTTGTTCTCCGCCCGTGGGCTCCCTGGCCCGCCGACCGAGCGCGCGCGCGCGAACCCTCCGCCCGCCCTGCCCTCGCAAAAGTGCCTGGCCGACGACGGCGAGTGCTCGCAGTACTTGTGCCTCGCCCCGCCCCGCCGCCGCCGCCGGCGCTGGCGACGATTTCGACGACGGGACGCCGCCGCCGACGCTGCCGACGACGGCATTGACGACGACGATGACGACGCTGCCGACGGCGACGCTGGCGACGGCGGCACGGCAACGCCGATGACGACGCTGCCGATGACGACGACGATGCTGCCGACGACAACGACGGTGCCGACGACGACGACGATGGCGACGACGCCGACGACGCCAGCGACGACGACGACGGCTTTGCCCACGCCGACGACGCTGCCGACGACGACGACTTTACCGACGACGACGACACTGTCGACGACGACGACGACGCTGGGGTCGACTACTCTGCCGATGACGGCGACGACGATGTCGACGATGACGACGACGACGCTGCCGATGGCGACGACGACGGTGCGGACGACGACAACCCTGCCGACGACGAACACGACGACGACATCGCTGCCAACGACGCTGCTGCCGACGATGATGACGACGCTGCGGAAGACGCCGATGACGCCAACGACGCCGTCGACAGTCAGTCAGTCAGGTCGCCTTTCACCAGACGGTGCGCAAGCAAGAGAGTATGCTACAGCACAGAGATCAAACGTGCCATGCGCGGACAGCTGACTCCCATGCCGGTGCTGCACCGCCCTCCGGGCGGAAGTAGTCAGCAAGACGGGCAGGGGTGCCAGCAACGTCCAAACAACTGTTCATGACCATTCTTCCCCACGTTTGCCGGGGTCGCCTTCTCTTCCGGGGACCTGTCGGCTGCTTGAGAGTTAGGCTGCCTGGTTCAAATACCGACTGTCTCACTGGATCGTTGCCCGCGCGTCTAGCGAGCTGCCCAAAGAAAGTCATTTGTCGTTTGACGATGAGCTCGCTGAGCGGCCGTTCACTGGCCAGGCCTAGCACGGCGCTGTTCGACACGCGACTGATATAAGAAGATGGGACCCGAAATATAGATCTCAAGCAGCGTGCCTGATTAAGACATGCTGCAAATAGACTGTACACAAGTTTGGCGACAATGCGCGCGTTGAAGATTGCTACTTGTCTCGCTCTGCTCAACGAAGAATGTGACCACACCGATTTCAATGCTTTGAAATCTTGTTTGGCCATGCCGATTCTCCTGTTCAGCTCAGATCCGCATCGTCCGTCCGCCGCGAGCTGGGTGCCGAGGTAAGTCAGAGCTTCCTTTTCTTGCACTTGAACTCCCGCGCTGTTCTGCAGGTGCGCGTTAGAGCGGACCTTCATCAGCTCCACCTTCCTCCAGTTCAGGCTCAACCCGTAATGCTTGCCGCAATTCTCGACGCAGGCCATCAGCTCGCCCACTACGACGGGATCAGCATCGAGGAGCAGAGTGTCGTCGGCGTAGATTAATTCCCGGACGAAGTGCGCATCGGGAAGATCTGGCAAACGAGACCGGAGTTCCTTGTGTGCATCTGCCATCAAAATCGTCATCACACTTGTGAACAGAAAAGGGGACAAGGGGCACCCTTGGCAAATGCCGTAACACTGATCCCGTTCAGCGGATGATGCACCGAAATCCGACACCACACACGTCCTGGCATTGTAAATTGACTTGACCATGTTGACGAATTTGTCTGGGCACCCAAATATTTTGAGCGAGGTTGATCAGGCGTCCGGCGCCACAGAGTCGAATGCCTTCGCCCAATCTAAAGCCAAAACATAGTGCATCCGTGCTTGGTTGCCCATGCGTCCTCTATGACTCGTCTGGCCACGAAGATCGCATCTGCGGTGCCTCTGTGAGACCGAAACCCAAATTGAGTTGGCCAGATGCGGTCTTCGGCCCCAGCGTCCTTCAGCCTCTGCAGCATGATCATCGCGAATACCTTGTCCCCAATGGGGAGCAGGCATATCGGTCTGTAGTTATCGCACGATGCCAAGTCGCCCTTTTTGTAGATCATGCGGACGCGCGTCTTGTGCCAGGCGTCAGGGGCGCGACCCTGCGTCCACACCATATTGCAGAATCTGGTAACCCAAGCGAGCGCAGGCACTCCGTCCTCTGCAGCGGCTTTCCAAAACTCAGGCGGCAGATCATCGAGGCCGCCAGCGCGACCGTTTTTCAATTTCTTTGCAGCCCGAGAGACTTCGCCCTCCGCGATGGCACTTACATTCACCGGCAGCTCCTCGCTCAGCGCAGATGTGTCCGGCAATATTGTGGTTGGCCGAACAGCCCATTGGACAATCTCCAAATGTTTTGCCAGTGTGTCGGCCCTGCTGTCGCTGTCGACCAGTTCGCCGGCGCTGTCGCGGAGCCGACCCTGTGCGGGGCAAAGCCCCCGTCATAGTCTACGGATCTGCGCCCAGTCTCCATTCTGTGTTAGCTCTTCTAGCCATCGAGCCCTGTCCCTTGCGACCGACCATCTGATACGTTTCGCCGCTTCTTTCTCGCGCGCGACGTCGCCGGCGAGTCTGGCCTGCGATCGAATGCTGATCAGCTCGAGGGTATCATTGCTAATCCAAGGCTTCCGTTTTCTTTGGGTCTCTAGCGGCAGGGAGCATTCTTCAGCGTGCTTGAAACTGTCAACCAAGCGGCACCATCCCAAATTCACGTCACTTTGGTCCGACGCCTCGTCTTCGAATGCTTCCAAAGAGTCCGCGAAGTGCATGGCCAGATCACGTCTTGCCCGCGGCTGCGAGAGAAGGCTGCGATCTCGACGGCGCGCAGGTTCTCGATCGCATTTGTCAGCGTCTAGCAGCGCAGTCGCCTGCAGCAGGAAGTGATGGGAGGATAACGGCACCTCCCGGCGCGTAGACACGCCTCTGGCTTTGTGGAGCCAGCTTTCTTCGCACGCGAGAAAATCGATCTGCGAGTGCGTCTGCCATCGAACATCCGCGCCCGCCAGGGTGCCGACGTTGTAGGATGTCGCCAAGCGATCGAGAGGAACACCAAATAATGTGTTCGCCAAAACATTTTCAGATGCGTGCACGTCTCCACGATCAAGTGTCTGCCGGCGTCCTCCCTGCAGCCCCTTTGCGGGCAGAGCAACGCATGGGGGCCAACAACAGAATGCCCCCCATCGAGTCTGCGAAAGAGTTTTGCGTTCAGGTCGCCGAACGCAAGCTTGGGTCCATGAGCGGATCTGGACTCAACAAATTCTGCAAGATCATGGAAGAACGTGTGCCGCCGTTCGAAGGGTTTGCCACTGTGGGGCGCGTCGGCGGTGAAGATGACGGCCTTCCCACCCGGTACTCGTAGCTTCAAGGGCGCCGTTCTGGATGTAGCCTGGCGGAAGCCCACGACCGATCTCCGCACCCATGGCGCTACCAGGAACCCCACTCCAGCGCGCTCTGAATCGTCCGCTGCCCCGCCGGAGAAGATAATCAAGAACCCAGTCTCGGTGGCGAAGGTATCGGATTTCGACCGCCAGGTCTCTTGCGCGCAAAGGATCCCAATATGATTCTGGTTCATAACGGTTTCCAATTCAATTTGCTCAGCTTCCGCGTAGCCTTCAATGTTCCGCGATGCGATATTGAATTCGGCATTTACGGGGCGTAAACGTCCACCCCGGACTGCAGGAAGAGGCATATTGGCTTCGCCAGAAAACCTCTGCCCCGCAATGAGATCATCCGGAGCTCCCGGGGGATGCGGAAGGCAAGGCTGGCCATCCCCAAGTAGCTGAAGTGAAACTTCTCTGCTTGCGCACCGCTGGCGCCCCTATTTGCGATGGGGGCCCGTTCCCTTGCCGCCCTTCGCCTTTCCCTTGAACGCTGCTTTCCCGCCTCCCTTGGTCGGGGCCTTTTCCAGCTTACTGCTCAGCTCGGCAACGTGGGTGGTGTACTCGGGGAAGGCCGGGTCCGTGAGCCACTCTTTCCGACCAGGCCCGTAGTCAACGGACAGTTTGCTCTCATCGACGTGCCCGTGAACAGCGACGACATCGCCTACCCCGACTTTGCCTTCTTCTGGGTCGGCCCACGCGGCTTTGAACTCGCACCTCCATTCCCTGAGCATGTGTTTCACTCCAAAAACGAACGAAGAAAGGATGCGTTCCGAGAGGACCTTAACAGGCTCCGCCCGAATATTGTTCCCCCCTTCTTTGAACGACCCGGTGTGAAATACGCTGACAGCTTTATCCCGGTCCCCTGTGGACACGAACTTCAGGAAAGCAATGCCTCGGAAATCTCCTTTGGTGTAGGTTTCTTGGGGCTGGGGCCCGAGAGCGTCCCAAAGTCTGTTCGACGCCCATTCCTTCACCTCCTGCGCCCCCCGAACGACTGCAGGCCGCCGATGGCCAAGGTCTTGTCCCTCTTTGCCTTGTTATCCGCAGTGCTGGAGTCCGAAACCTTCAGCGTGGCGATCTGCATCTCCAATGCCTTCAACTGCTCCCAGATCTCTGCGTTCGCAGTGCAATCAGACCGGGGAGTGTTCGTCAAGCTGACGCGCTGCTTCTCAAGGTCCGCGATGCGAGTCTCGAAGTTGTCAATTTCCCCTCCACCGCGCTCATCCGGGAGTCCATCATGTCGCCCATTCCGGTGACTTTGTTCTCGAGGTCAGAGATGGCGCGCTGGGGCGGTGTCACCTCCTGCCGGAACATGTTCGCGATCTCCTGAAGGGTCGGCGCCTGCAGCTGGGCGCCTGCTGGGGTGTCTGGCGTGCCGATGTGGTGTTCCTCTGCGCTTTCAGCCTCATCAATCTCGTTCAATGGGCTGAAGAGTCTCTGCCGCACGTCCCGCTCCCCACCAAACGGAGCACCTGGCTGGCGGGTGTTTCCACGTGTCCTGGCAGGCGAAGACATCGCGCAAGACAAGATGTGAGAGATAGTCGAGAAGAGGAAATGCAAAGAGGGCAAATACAAGAGGTGTATGAGTATGAAGTATGTCAGGGCCGCTCACGCCCTCTCGCTTGAGTCAGCGGCGACGAAGACGTCTACGACTTCGACCACGCCGACGACGACGACGCTGCCGACGACGACAACGACACCAATGACGACGCCGACGACGCCGACTTCGACGATGACGACGACGACGACGGTGCGGA